CTGCTTCAGCTTCAGCCTCTGGAGTACTGGATTATAGGAATGTACCACCACCCTTGTTCCTGCCAAATTTGTATCAGTCAGCAACTGAGCTATCCAGAAACAACACAGTCTCATGCTATCTGTGATAGAGATTTGTTTTCCCATTACTACTTCTCACAGAAGGAGAAAATGAAAATCAAACAAATATTTCACATTTAATTTCTATGATCTAGTCACTCTTAATTTGCACCAAAATCTTTGTTATAGGTATTACATAAACTAAAAGTGGAAGTGTAAGAAATTTATTTCAGATATGTGGCAGAATAGGATAGCACTATCATAAAAATTCTAAAAACTGTCTTGAAGACAAAGCACAGAAATCCTAACTGCACAACCCTCTTCAAAGTATAGGCAAACTACAAATGTTTTAGAGAAAGGAAAGTAAGATAACTAGAAAAACAGAATAGCTTTTGCTATTTCTTTATTTTACTATTTACTAGGAAAAAAGAAACCACTTCAATGTCCAATAGCAAACAATTATATGAATGATTCAACAGAATCCCAACGTTTAATTCAGCCTTTTTAGTTCCAAAAACCAACATCCCCTCTCTTTTAATATCTTGGAATAGATCTTGTCCTCACCTGAAACTGTCATCTCTGAAGTAATAAATTCAATTAACAAAAATCTTGATATTTATTTACAACCCTAGACCAACACAGTTTTCCTAGGAAACTTTCATCACATCTTTAAGCACACAGCAAACCTCTAGCCAACTGACACTCTGCCTTTCCTCAAATCATCATTCATTCCATTATCACCACATCCCATGACCCATCATGTCAACTACACTGCTGCCAAGGTCCTAAATTCCTTAATTCTACTGTGGGTTTCACACCATTCTGAACATTTCTTTTATCAAAATTTTCAAAATGTTGTCCATATTACTGTCCTCATTCTCCTCACTTTTCATCCACTTCTCACTCCAACTATCTGGTTTTTGCTCCCATATGAAAATTTCCCTTGTTATAGCATGAAAGACCTCTGAGTCCCTGAGGCCAATACAAGTTGTTCCCACATTTAATTTCTTGCAGTTACAGTTTTCGATACACAGACACCTTTTATCTTGGCTTCTACATATTACAATTTTTAGTTTTCCAGAAATTTATTTGGCAGTTATCTCACCTCCACCTAACAATTTTATCCCTTAAAGTCCTTTGTGAAGCCCTATTCTTCACTTTATATATTTTCCTTCCATATACCATTTTTTCTGTCCTCAATTCCCCACCCTCCAGAACTGGGGATTGAACTCAGGCCCTTGTGCTTGCCAAGGAAGCACTTATTCCACTCAGTCATCTCCCCGGCCCCTCTTCAATTTTGATACATACATCAGTATCTGCTTTTGTAGCTCTGCTGTTTTGTTTTTGTTAAGATCAACTGTCTACTTACAAGTAAGATTTGGGGCTAGAAGTGTAGCTCAGTGATAGAGTATTTGTCTAGCATGCATGAAGCCCTGGATTCAATCCCACCACCCCACCTAATAACACTTGAAAGTTTCTCAGTTACCTCTAGCTCAACACGTCATGTTTAAAATTAATTTCTCAAAGCTTTTATAAAAGGGGAGGGTAGCAGGAGTTGAAAGGAAGGGAGGGGAATGGGGAAAAAAGAATCAAGTTATATCATGTACAGGTACAAATTCTCTATGATAAATGTGATCATCATTTAGATTAAAAAATGTACCAATACATAGTGCACACCTGTAATCCCAGTGCTGGGGAGGCTGAGAGAGGAGGATCACTAGGAGTCTGAGCTGTGGAGTGAGAGTCTATATCAAATAAGTAAATAAATAAGTTTTAAACATTTAAAAATGTACCAATACAATCTAATTAAAAAAATTAATTTCTTCATTGTCTTCTTTCCCAGTCTGGTTTTAGCTATCCCTCTTTACATAAAAGGGATAGCTCACCCTTCCTATCCTGAGAAGCACAAATGAGAAATCTAGTAGAAAGCATTCTATCATTGCCCTTTCTTTACCTTCTTTCTGACATCCACTGAGATCTAGCTTCCATCCTTAATTCATGAAAGTTAAAGAAATTAAAGAGGATGCAGAGTTAAAATTGTAAAATAAGATGGGTTTGACTCTTCTCCATCATTTCTCTGAACTGAAACATTAATACAATTCTTTGATCACAAGAAGAAAGAAAAAACACAACTTAGACCAGGTTAAATGACAAACCTGAACTATTTAACATAACCAAATCATACAATAGAAATAGAAGGTGCACTTCGAGGATAACTGGAGCTAGAGACACAAACACTTCTGAGATCTGATTTTAGACTACATCAGTATCAGAAATCCAAACAGATGAAGCACAGAATCAGAAGTATTGGGGTAGATGATGTTGAAAATCTGTAAGCAATTCACTTTGAAATGCACTTAACAAAAAACATGAGGTAAGATTGACAAATACAATTATAGTAATTGCCATTAATTCCCCTGATAATATGCCCTCTCAAACCCACTTGCCCCATTCTTCTTGTCACTTTCTGAAGCACTTCTGAAAATTCTCTTTTGAGTCTCTTTAGTTCCACTGTCATGGCTGCTTTAATATGCTGAATCAATTTGAACAACTTAACTCTTCATAGTCATTTTGACTTTTAGAAAGAGCCAGAAGTCACATACTGAGAGATGAAGTGAATACAGAGGATGAAGACACATCACACTGTTCCTTCAAGCTTTTCTTTCTGTTAGATACCACGTAACCAAAGCATTCATCATGGTTTTTAATCAAACTTCTAAAGACACTCAGGCAAGAGAGCTTCTAGAATTGCTTCAGAAAATGCAAGACTGACAGGGTGTTTGAAGTGAGGAGGCATATTTTGAGGGCAGTGAATGGTAATTTGTCTTTTACTATAACACACATTCACTATGTTTTGAAGACTCCTTGTAAACAAATGAATGTAGCATATATGGACAAGTAGATGGATAAATATACAATAAAGCAAGTATGGTAAATCGTTAAAGGTAGAATTGTGGTTGGTATATAGCAAATGCTACCAGAGTCTCAACTTTTCTGTATGTTTGACACTTACAGTAATAAAAACTTGAAAGTCAAAGCAGAACTGTATCATGCCTATAGTGATTAGCCCTTTCCTCAGAACGTTAGCCCCAGAATAAAGTACAGTAATTAGATCTCACACTCCAAGAACAGAGAGAACAAGGCTACTCATTTTTTCAGAATATATAATAAGTTATTTCTTGAATACCTATTTGGAAGAATTCCCTATAATAAAATCAAGGTGTTACAGAGAAATGAGGCTAGATTTGCAGAATGATGCCAAGAGCTGACCATTCTAGTTTGGAAATGTAAGAGAAATAACAGGTGAAACGCTTATCCCATTCAATCTGATTACACTTGGTTATTAACACACTGCACACAAATTCACATGTCCTGATTTCTCATTTGGAATAGCTTGATGTTCCTCTGGTGAAACAGGAAATGCACCTTTGTGTTGGGTGACAATTTTTTACCTTGCTTTTGACATCTTAAATTTAGGGGTCTTGAGTTAAGGAAAGATCTGAGCATTAAAAAGAGATTGAGCATCATATTATCAAAACAGTACTAGAAGCTAAGACTCTCAGTAAGATCATCTAGAGAAAATATGTTCAGTGAGAAGTTATTTTTCCTTTCGTTTTTTAATCCACTTACAAAATTTTCACAAATTGTTATTAAATGTCACTAGACCTACAAAAAAGTGATATATTTTCTAGGAGTTCAAAATAACTTCTTGCAAAATATAATGACCCATTTTTAATCTCCAAGGTGTTTAACGTACTTCTCTACAAAATTTACTTGGTTGGTCACTGGTTTATTGGAAAACTCTCCTCTAGCGACCTCTGCATTACTACCGCCCTCCCCCAACACACACATACATTGTGGTAGGGACTGAATCCAGGGCCTTGTGCATGCTAGTGCTCTACTGCAGTTACATCCTCAGTTCCTTTTCAGTCTCCTATTGAGTGTGACTCGCAAAAATACACCCTTGGTTCTTAAATCCTCATTTCTAATCCCAATCTTTCCACTTGCTTCAGATCAAACTAACTAAAGTTTAACACCTGCCTCTTAAAACTGAAAATTGTGTTGGCAATACAACATAAGAAATACTATCTCCCTGCACCACTAGGGGCTTGCTGCTCCCGGGGCTTGATGATTTGGTGAAAGAGTCTGGGCATGGTGGTGCGCACCTCTAATCCCAGCGCTTGGAAGGCTGAAAACAGGCGAATCACTATGAGTACGATCTACGTAGTGAGACCCTGTAGACCCTGTAAGTACATTACAAAACAAAACAAAAAACCTATCTACCTTGACGCGGACTGATCTGCCTCGTAAGAATCACACTGTTTTAATCTCCCTAAATTTACTTTCTCATGTTCTAAAATAGGGCCACAAAAATATCTGATCACATATCGGTTAGAAATGTATAACACTAGTGTAGCTACACACTCGTAAGTCTTGAGATGAACACAACAAATTGTGTCAAATTGTAAATACCTTATCTACAATAACCCGCAAAATTTGTAATATCAAAATATCAACTTCTCTCCACGGGCACTCGTCATTCATGGTATTAGCTCGGGTGACATGCGCTCTTACAGTGAGCCGACTTGTAGAATCTCTTACAGAATCTGAGAGTCGCTAAAGGCAGCAGACACAACGTATCCGATCCCCCACACTGACGGAACCTTCTGCAGTCCAAGGTTTCTTAAAGAAACAGCTCAAATTTGTTTCGACTAAAACTGAAAAGCTTAGCCACAAAAACATAGAACAGTCCGAAAAATACTGAAAAACTTCCCTGCCCGTCTGCAGGCCGCTCAGAGAGGGACATGACATAATTCACGAAGCAGAACCAAAAACGCAGGTTTCATCTTTCCCGCGGCTCCTCAGCTAACCACTAGCACTGCATTTCCGGCGTGCCCTGCGCCACTTCCGCTCGCGCATTTTCATTGCGTAATCGGGTGGAATCTCGCGGTACCAGCCGGTCAGCGTGCACTTTTGACAGAGGTCTCGCGAAATTTGTTCTGCCGCCCCAAGACCTACCGTTTCGCTGTCCTCCACCCCACCCTAAACCTGTCCTTCCTTTCTCTTTCCAAATCGCAAAATTCTCCTCCATTTCCTCCAGCTCACTATCTTCCTCTTGGTTCCGATTTCGGACCGGAACCGGAAGTGCGGTGGGCGGAGCCCGGCAGTGGAAAACCCTGCGGAGCCGGACCCGGGACACCGCTGTGGCTGCTGTCCTGTCCATCGCCACGGATCGCCGGGGGACAGGGCTGCACGACTCCAGGCTGAAGGTCGGCCCGGAGGCGGGTGAGCGCAGGTCTCACCCGAACTGTCCGGGCGGCACTGTCCCCGGGTCCCCCGGGCGCCGCGAGGGATCATGTCTACAGCCTCCGCCGCTTCTTCCTCCTCCTCGTCTTCGGCCAGTGAGATGATTGAAGCCCCTTCCCAGGTCCTTAACTTTGAAGAGATCGATTACAAGGAGATCGAGGTAGAAGAGGTGAGCGAGGTCTGGCACCGAGTCGGCGGCTGCGGCCGCCTCTGCCTCGGTCGGGTGCGGGCTCGGAAAGTGCCTCCCTGACCACTGTAGTTCGCGAGGTCCCTCGAGACAGGCTGTGGAGAGGACTCTTGGAGCTCAAAAGCCGTCTTTTACCCTAAATTTGGCACTGCCAGTGAGTTTGACTTTGAAATTCTAGTGCCTGGGTTTGGTCCACCTCAAACAAGAGAATGAACAGGTGAAAAATCTTGTTAAATGAGTAAATCATCAAATGTAGTAAAATATGTTCTTCTGCAGAGCAGTATTGGTAATATTGAGTGCTCTGTTTGCATTCGGGTTGACTTAGATGAGGAAAAGATGTTAACCGCATCGTGAAAAGATAAATAAGGATTTTGGTGTCAACCAGAATGTAACACCAGACCAGAAATCTCTGTTAGTAAACCGAGCCCGATCTTCATTCTACAATAATTTATTTTAAACTAACGTATTTCACTGTGCATTTAGTATTTCCTTTCGAATTCTTACAGTAGGTTGGTTCTAAGAATCACACAACTTAGAAAAATAAATATATATGCACATATATCTGTATTTTTAAGGTAGGTGTTACCTTTCTATAGTACAGGTTCAGTGTTTTGCTTTACCCATACTGTAATGCTGTAACTCCATGAAGTATAATAGACTGAATTATCTTTAACAATCTAAAATTACTTTGCAAAAGCAGTAAGTTTAGAGTAGTAAGCTTACTAACATTCAGTGAATACATTTTTCCTGTGCATATCTTGGAAGAATAATGGATTACAGAATCATATATTTTTATCACATAAAGTAACTTTAGAGAATATCTTGTTCATTGAGAAAATTCCCATCTGACAAGGTACTGTGGGGAGAAGACCAAGATTTAGGGTGTTAGAGAAAGGTTTAGCACAACAGATATACCACTTATTAGCAGTGTGATTTGGATACAAGTGTTCTAATCCCTTTTACTGTTACTTTATTTAATTATAAAATCATGATAATTTCTATTTTGTTTTATCTGTAAAAGAGACCCAATTAAACAGTACATACAAAATACCAACACAGTCCCTGATATATTTTATTTAGCTTAGTTCTAGAGAAGAAAAAACAGTGACCTCTTTGAGGTCAAGTAGCTAAAAGAAGACCTGTATTTTGAAGAGGAGAAAAAAATTTGCCCCCCCCAGAGACTATGATAAATTCTTTTTTCAGAAGTGGATAGTTGATCCAGCTTTCGTGGCTAACATTCTTTTTTAAGAATAAAAATTCAGTGAGTCAGTGTACAAGAATTGCAGTTTTTAAATAAGCATTTATGTCTACTCCGCGGTGCATTGCTGTGCTTGTAGAGTACGAATTGTTATATAATAATAGTTTGTACTTCATGGTCTACCAGATGTGCTCACAGACTTCATATGATTCTTAACAGGCTTAGTTTTGCACACTACTTTTTACATTCTTCACGGAAAAATGTGTTAGCAAGTATCAATTTGATGGCTGTCCTTCCTTTACAGTCATTCCATTTGTGAGTAGGTTTTTACACTTAAATCCCTTCTTTTCAGTTCTGTATCAATCATTTGAAGTTGGGAAATGTACTGAAGACATTTCTGAGGAGTATGTTTGTGTTTTTACATGAAATTTCCTATGATTTAGGGTTTTCTTTTTATTGTTGGTCTAATACAGTCTTTTTTTTTTTTTTTTTGAACCGGGGATTGAACTCGGACCCTTGCGCTTGCCAGGGAAGCCATTATTCCACTTAGCCATCTCCCCGGCCCCTTCTTCTACATTCTTAGTACCCAGTTTCACAATAAAGATTTAGTCCTTTCTGATGTCAAAACCATTTCATAATTTTTTATTATGTTCTTTATTTGCACACATTAAATCAGTGTAATATAATCTATCAGTGGTGCCCAAAGGAAGGCATACAATAACTATTTGAACTTAGATTCCACTTCTGGATTAAATCGTGAGTAGGAAAATTGAATGATGATCCAAACCAAAACTATATTATATGAACAAATATCTTAGTAATTCTCTCATCTCTTGACATAGACATGGTATGTGACACCCACAATTTAAGGGAGGAAAGGTTTATTTAGACTCATAGTGCAGTCTGTGGTGGCCTGACTCAAGCACAAAAGTGGAATGATAAATGACTGCCACAGAAGAAAGCTGCTAATGGTGTGGTAGCCAAGATCCAGGAAGGGAGATACATGCTGGCATGCAGGCCCCAGTGTCCTTGCACCCTCCAGACCCCGTCTCGTAAGAGCAGGTCAGTTGTAACAGCGCTGGTGATTAATCACTTTCCAAAAGTACTACCTCTCAGCTCTTGACAGTTTTGGGGCTCATTCTGCTGCAAACCACAGTAAGTGTTGTACTTTTAAATTTAAAAAGTTATATTTCATGTTTCTCAAATAAAAATACAATTGAATTAACATCATATCAATATAATTTAAAACTATGTAAAATAAGAGTTCATGGCTGGCCAGAGAGCTCAGCAGACTAAAGTGTCTGCTTAGGCAGAGCGCAGTGGCTGGTGGCATGCCTTGCAGGCCCTCCCCCCAGGGCACGCTGAGATGGAAGTTGAAATTGCGTGGTGGCACGCCTGTAATCCCAGTGCTTGGGAGGCTGAAAACCGGAGAATCACTCTGAGTCCCAACTACGTAGTGAGACCCCATTGACCCTGTAGACCTTGTACTAAATATTTACATAAAAAGTTCTTATGACAGACCAAATATTTGGTAGGTAGTTCTTCTAAGATATCAAGTGCTTTTAATCTTGTCATATCTAACATTCTGGCTCAGTACTGTGGCACTTCTTAAATTCAGTTCTGCTACTAGGTTAGATAAGTTGTCCGCCTTAGAAGTCCACCTGCATACTTTTTAAGTCATTAAGCATGAAGTGGTTACGAACAGAGCAATATGTTAAAGCTTTTGGGGCTGGGCATTTAGAAAATTAAGATGCTTTTTTGGTTGTACTGTAATTTGTTTCTTTGACAAGTCTCTTTTTGGGAGCCAGTGATTTACCTTATAAAATGAGAGATTGAATAAAATAATTTGTTCCAGTTCGAAGATAAAAACACATTCATTGTTTCCAATATTTAAGCTGTTTCCACAGTAAGCTTAGAAGTTCTTAAGGACAGTGATCATGATGCGATCTCTTGTGGAATTTACTTAGCGACCAACTAATTTTGGGTAGACAGGGAAAATGGCATTCCTATTTTACAGATAATAGCAAGTAGTCCTAGCATTTGATTTGCCAGAAGCCACAAGTAAATGGAAGAGCTGGAGATAATATGAAATTTCTTGCTCATGAGTCACTTACTCTTTCCACTGGATTTACAGTGTCATTTAGTTCTTTCTGAAGTACTCTATAATGAAACCTTATTCTGGGGATGAGGATATAGAATATGATTTTCTTTATTGTAGTTAGCCCTGAGCATTTAACAAACATTCTCTGCATAATACTGCTGAATTTCTATGGAAAGTAAATAGAAGAATCCAAAGACTTTCTCTAAAATTATGAACAGTTAATTACATTGGCAGAACTGTGAATTTAAAACTGTGAATATAGTCTACGTTGAAGACATAATTTGGAAGTTGATTTAATCACAAGAGTCCATGAAAGGGTGACAAATGGTTTTAGTAGGTTTTAAATAACATGACCATCATGAATTTAGAAAGTCATTCACTGCTGTTTCTAGACAGCTTTTCCCGCAGAACTTCACATGACTCACTCCACAAATTCAAATCTCACTTCAGATATCCCTTTCTCAGAGCATCTTTTTACCAGTGACCTAAAATTGTCAGTTCTGTTATCCTTTGTAGCACTTACTAGTAACTGAAATTGTGCATTCTCACCAAAATACTGCATAAAGTGTCTTATCCACACCCCAAAGCATAGCAAACCGAGGTTCTCTATCAGTACTTACTGAAAGAGCAAATGAAATTATCACAACATAATTGTGAGAACTAATTGCTCATCTTACATTATGCAGAATGAAACAGGGTTAGGATAAGTTATGTGACTTGGCCATGGCAGTGTTTACACTACAGCGAGGGCTGATTTTTATTCCAGGGTTGGTTCCATTACACTCCGTTATGCTTAACTGACACTCTTGTTTCACAGAAGTAAAAGATGCTGTGCAGAGCCAGGTTCTGTGAGTAAGCCAAGTATGGGTGGACCTTGACTGCAGTACTGAAAAGGCCCTCTTTACAGTGATTGATTTGTAAACAAGAGATGCACAATACTGAATGCACCTGTAGTATATGAGCAAGCGTATTAGACTTGTATAATTGCTAGAACATTTGCATATATTAAGCTTCATTAAAGAGATTCACAAGGCTTTTTTTTGAAAGCTAAAATGTTCTAGGAAAATGTAGAAAGAATTTTAGCAGCATATATGTTTTTGTTGACTTAGGTAATGTACAGTTTACTGAAATCAGAGAAAAACCTAAATTTAAGTGGTGTAAATAAATTTGTCTGTGTATTTATTAGTCACTATTTAATTATGAATACCCAAAATTAACTCCTTCCTTGTGAAACTTAGTTACCAATGATTTCACCAGAAATTTGCAATGACTTTTGTAGTAAACAGGTAGTTACAGAGATAATTTTTTTTTTAAATCTTACATGTGTATGTTAAAAGGTAAACTGAGAATATTAAAGGAATGGCCTATGAGATGAGTAAGATGGTTATGGCAGGCTTTAAAACACTGTATGAAAAAATTCAGAAGAAAGAATAATCAAAACTTTACATATCATCTGTCTCGTCAGTAGATGACAATTCTATTCTGCCACAGTTTATTAATAGATATTGAAGTTCTCAAATAGTTGGAGGCCTCACGTCCTAACTAATAACTGTGAGATCGGTGCTTGTTCTGTCATGTTCCACATTTCTGGCCAGAGTGATGGCAGCATAGCCAAGGGTCCATTCACATAGTCGGTCGAACAGGGCCAAACCAAACTGACAGCTATCGTCACTGAACTAAAAATAACATGAATTGGGGACAAGAAAGATGAACTATTTCATAGTAAATCAAGAGCACAAAGGCATATATCCTTTTTATTTAGTTCAGCTTATGTGTTTATTATTTTAATCTGACTTGCATGAAGGAATGTAGTAATCTTTTACCATACAGAATTTAGTTTTTAACAATTTCTTGAGAAAATTCTGTTTGTGGTTTTATGCCTTCCTATAATAATTGCATGGAAATATTTATATGCAATCTCTCTAGTCTTCTATTATATAACTTAAATCTACTGTTTTAGTAAAGTTGTAGACCTAAAACTAAGTAAGCTAAATCACAATTGCATACCTTAAGATAATTAATATAAAACATTTAATTTAGAAAACATTAACTGAAGCACTTGGGAACTGAGGCAGGAGGCACCCTGTGAGTTCAAGGGCAGCCTGAACTGCAGAGTGAAACCCTTTCTCAAAAAGACAAAGAAATGAAAACATTAATTGAGAAAAAAAATTTCTAAATTGACTTTTAATACTAAAGTCCTTTTGGCATTCCTCTCTGTATTTGCAGATGAGGGATTTTGATGATATGTGAAGTATTTGTGTAGGTTCTGTTTTGAATGTATACACTTGGTAGAGAAGATACTTGTAACTTGAATGTGTTGCCTGGTTTACAGTCTTGATGAAAATTCATCTTTGGGGAAAATTGTCATTCAAAATAATTGTTAATGATAACATTTCATAGAAATTTATATTCAGATATGAATACAATTCAAACAGCATATTTGACTTGTAATCTTGAATTCGAAATTTGTTAGTTATATAGGATATTGCTTGTTTTTCAATATTTTGTAATGTGAATATTGGGTTTTTCATTGTTTACTTCTGTCGCCAGTATGTGTCAGTAGTAGCCATCTTTGCCGCTGTGTTCCCCTAATCACTGTATGTCAAAAAGTGCTGAGTTGTTTGTAATGTGAACTGACTCCTTCTCTGACAAAGGGCATAATTTTCTTAAGTTTTAAGTTTGGCTCTTATAGACCAATCTGCTGGTTTCTCTCCTTGCTATCTTATGGTCTCAATTAATGTAATAAGGAAATTTGTTATCAAACTATTGGTATTAAAAACATTTTCATTGTCTAACTCAGGTGGATGAGGCAAGAAATACAGGGTTTTTTTTTAAATTTGTACACAATGTTTTCCCCTCAGCAGAGTGTTGTTTTGTACTGTCAGTCTGAGAGAGCTAAGGTATAGACAGTAGTTTACCTTCTTTACCATTGAGTTCTGTTGTAGCCCTGGTCTCCACATTTCAAAAAATTATTTTTCAGTGGTAAAGTAAAACACTCTTTTGTATATGTGTAGTTTGAAAATTGCTTATGTGTGGAAAACTAGATACAGTATTTTAAAGCAATGGAAGCTGTAATAACAATTAACAGAACTTAAGTTATAGTTCCTGTACTGTTATCCACTTATATCTCAAGTTGAGTAATTGTGGTTTTTTGTTTTTGTGTTTGTTTGTTTTAAGGGAGTGTTTTGTCTCCAGACAAGGTTTTGCCCTATAATCCAGGATGGCTTTGAACTCAGGTTGGCCTTGAACTTGTAATGCTTCTGCCTCAGTCCTCAGTGCTGAATAAGAGTACCACCACAGCCCCACGGGAATTCAGCTTTTGATACACAGAACTTCAGTTCTTCCACCATTGACTCTGTCCCAATAACCTCATCCTTTTGAATTCAGAGCAGCCCTTTCATATGTTACAGTTTATATGTATTGCTCTGGACACCTTGCGTTTATTATCATTTTAGATTCCCTTATTTCACTGTATATGTAAAGTGTCTTGTGGCTATAATGAGAGTGGTGCTACTTGAGGCCATGGACTGTCATCTTACATAAGTATCTTATATTTCAGAATATTCTGGAAAATTACCTTCTCAGGCAAAACAGAAAAATTATCTTGTCCTCAATTACCCATACAATATTTTGTTTCCGTGGTTTTAAATTAAAGATTCAGAGTCAGCCATCGTAGCACTAGGTGTCACTTGCAGATCATGAATAGTACTATGAGCCCAAGGCAGTTTTTCAAACAGGTGTGTGAGCCACAAAAGTACATAATGTTTAGAATCCCTTTATGAACACTTCAAAATAGAAAAATGAAACAAAAGACAAGTCCTCCTGAGTACCAGTTGCTCTAATATATATTTGTAAATACATGGCTGAAGAACATACTAAACTACTATGTCATAATCATTTATTCATAATTGTGAATTCAGCGGGTAAGGTAGTCTCTGTGTATATCTTCTTTGTTTGCTTTTTTAGTTCTGGGAATCAAACTCTGGATCTTATGCTTGCCAGATAGGTGATGTGCTGTTGAGCTACTTCTCCGGTGCCCCCACCTTTGTTTTTTTTTTAAGTGTATTTAGTACAGGGTCTCATTACGTAGGTTGGACTCGTAGTGATTCTCCTTTTTTTAGCCTCCCAAGTTCTGGGATTACAGAGATGTGCCACCACATCTGGTCTCATTCTCCTCCTCAGCATGCCCCAGGGGTGGGGCCGCCACAGCAGGCCCAGGATGGAACTGTGGTCTAAGCAGGCACTTTAATCTGCTGAGCTATTAGGCCGATCCCATTTTGTCACTTTGAGTGGATACATGCTACCAATTTTTATGAATTCCAGTTTTGCTCCTTGGCACTGTGCGACTACTAATCTGCACTCCATCACTGTCAATTTTTCTTCCCTGGCCATTTCGTAGAAACTGACTCTTCCCTGGCCATTTCATAGAAACCTGTGGTCTCCAGTGCCTTGCTTCTTTCACTTAGCATAATGTGGTTGTCTGTCTTCACTAGATAGATCAATCGATCGATCTCACTACTTTATGGGGTTTTCTGAGTAGTATTGCATTGCATAGGTAGTAACACATGGTCTACCCTTCACCATGGCCAATCTTTTTCCATCCATATTTTGATCCTTCCCCTGTATCCCCTACCTTTCCTCAGTTATTTCAGAAATAGTGTAAAGCACTCATTATATGTTCCATCTCTTTTATTTTTCTAAATTATCTTTCTGTACTTATCTTACCCATGTTAATTTTTTTCTGCAATGAATAGATTGCTTTACGTTCTTTATGCTTCCTTTTTTTATGTTGGCTTTACTTGAGAATGAAGGAGTGTCTAGACTGAAATGTGTCAGATTTTGAAACTTCATTATCTTCCACTTTAATGAAACTCACGTATCTCATGAGACTCTTTCTGTCGCTGTGACAAAATGCAAAGATAAATAACTTCAGGGAAGAAGGGTGTATTTTGGCTCCCAGCTCTGGAGGTTTTGGTCCGTGTTTCCTGAGCCCTGTTTTGAGCCTGTGCCGGGGCACATCATAACAAGGACTGTGTGGTAGAAGTCTCTTCATTCTATGGCTGCTGGGAAGCAAAAGAGAGAGAGACAGACACAGAAGGGGAATCATTTCCCTTTCAGGGCACACCTTGAGTGACCTGACTTCCTCCCACAAGGTCCCAACACTCCTGTAGTGCCGCTAGCTGGGGACCAAGATTTCAGTGCATGCACTTTTGAGTGACATTTAAGATCCAAGTAGAGCACTTGTACTCAGTGGCAAATCCAGATACTGATTACACTATTTCTGTATTTTCTGTAAGATTAAATTATCAGTTTCTTTCTTTTTTTTTTTTTTTTTTTTTTTTTTT